TAGGAAGAGCAGGAGTAGGAGTAGGAGTACGGTCAGGAGCAGGAGGAGTAGCACTAGCACTAGCAGTAGCAGTAGCAGCAGCAGCAGTAGCAGTAGCAGTAGCAGTAGCAGTAGCAGTAGCAGTTGCAGTTGCAGTAGCAGTAGCAGTAGCAGTAGCAGTAGTAGTAGCAGTAGCAGTAGCAGTAGCAGTAGCAGTAGCAGTAGCAGTAGCAGTAGCAGTAGTAGCAGTTGCAATAATAATAATAATAGTAGCAGCAGGAGTAGTAGTAGTACTACTACTACTACTACTACTACTACTACTACTGATGCTGCTGCTGCTGCTGCTGCTGCTGCTACTACTACCACTAATACGACTACGGCTGCTGCTAGTACTGCTACTACCACCACCGCCACCACCACCACGACGACGACGACTACTACTACTACTACTACTACTACTACTGAAACCCTTTCGAGCGATTTGCTCCGTTGCATCTGTCAAAGGCTCTAAGTCCCTGTCGCATACTTTGCTCCTTGTTCTCAGATGCTCTGACTAACCCATTTCGAGCACCTGGCTGCTTTCTCTCACATTCTAGAAGATACCGACATGTTTGATCTTTTCCTCCATACGAGCAGAAGCGCTGATATCAAGCATTCAATCCTAAACCCTAGACGGTCCTCCGGCTCTGGTCGCATCTCGGCGGAGTCCTCGGCCTCAGGAAAAGCCACAGGCTGTCCGAACCACCAAAACTGCACCTAAACCCTAAACCCTAAACCCTAAACCCTAAAGCCTAAACCCTAAACCCTAAACCCTAAACCCTAAACCCTAAACCCTAAACCTTAACCGTTGAAGAAGCGCTTCAAGTTTTTTTCTTTTGAGGGCCTTTTGGGTGTCTGCACGAAGCGTTTTAAGTCTAGGGTTAAGGGTTATGGGGCACCTTTTGCGGTTCCTTGACGGGTATTTACGAGGGCTTGCAGGTTTTTACAAGGCAGTATAATGCTTCATAAGGTTGTGTCTAAGAGTTTTTGTAAGGTTTAGCAAAATATTTGGTTTATAGAACTGTATTTCAGGGTTTCGACCGAAACGTGTTGAGTGAAAGTTTAGTTTTTGCTTTTGACTCTGCATTTGAGCGAAATTGGGCTGGGCTGGGCTGGGCTGTGCTGGGCTTGGGCTGGGTTGGGCTGGGTTGGGGCTGGGCTGGGCTGGGCTTGGGCTGTTGGCGCGGCTTGGAATTGGTTTCTTCGCACACGTTCAATTAAAGTTCGAAACTACTGAAGATGCAGTTCGAAGCGAAATTCACAAAATTTGTGTTTATACTGTTCTTGAGGGTCTAGGGTTTGGGGCTTAGGGTCTGGTTCACAAAGTTTCGGGTCCCTTATTGGGAGTTCCTTATGCTAAGGATTCTACTACTCAATATCTAAACCGGGTTTAGGGTTTAGGGTTTAAACCGGGGCCCCTTTCTTCTGAAAACTCCTTTGTTTAGCCCGTTGGCCTGCAAGCTGGAAAAACACAACTGCCCCCTAAACACAAAACTCTGAAACCTAAAGCCTGAAAAGACTTGAACTGAAAACCCCACAGTAAAGGCAAGCTTCTTCTTTCTGTTCTCTTCCGTTCCCTGAAGCGAAATTCCGAAACTCTTCACCCTACGTACATGTAGAAGCCAGTTCCTGCCCATTGCCTAAAGTTTAGGGCGTCCCCTTCTGAAAGTCTACACCCTACGTTGCAAAGTCTCAAACTCCCAACCCTAAGCTTCCAAACCCTGAATTTCGGACTTCTAAACCTCAAGCCTAAACCCTAAACCCTAAACCCGGACATCCTTCTCTAAACCCGGAAGTTCTTCTCTAGACCCTAAACCCTACACCCTGAACCCTAAACCCTGAACCCTGAACCATCAACCCCCCTCCCACCTCAAGGAGCTCCTCCTCCGAATCGGAGTGCAGCACCTGGCGAGATCGAAGTCTGGCAATTTTTAGGGTTTAGGGTTTTGGGTTTAGGGTTTGGGTTTAGGGCTTTCTACGGCTTCTAAGGGTTGTCGGTATACAGAGAACATTAGGGAGATACTGTTGATGGACAAAATTCTGCATGACCCAAATATAGTATAGTACCATAAATCCCATAGTTTAGGTATATAAGGTCATGCAGGATTTTGTTCATCAACCGTAGCATTTGGGGGGCTGTTGGGAAGTAAGGCTTAAGCGTTTTGGATGTCAGGGGTGTGGTTTACAGTTCCGCCTCAGGGTAAAGGCTAGGACCGTAGGGCCTTCATGCAGCAGCGAAAAGTTTAGGGTTGAGGCTTTAGGGTTCAGGGTTCAGGGTTCAGGGTTTACGGTTTAGGGTTCAGGGTTCAGGGTTTACGGTTTAGGGTTCAGGGTTCAGGGTTTACGGTTGAGGGTTCAGGGTTCA